ATGGGGGCACACATCAGTAGTCCCAGGTACTTGGGAGGCGGCAGTGGGTCCTGATTGTCCCACTTTCCCCCCGCCGGGGGGACAGGGGGAGCCCCTGTCAAAAAAAAAAAAAAAAAAAAAAGGGGAGGGAGGATTTATTGAAGGGTGAATGATAGAGTCGTTTGAGTTTGTTTTTAACCTTCCTTTAATGCTTTTCTAGCATATTTTGTGTCTTAAATTGTTTTGTAAAGGAAGCATTCTGCCTTAACTGTAGGTTTCCAGTGGTAGCAATGGGTGTGCTGAAGTGGGTGGATTGGACTGTATCAGAGCCAAGGTACTTTCAGCTGCAGACTGACCACACCCCCGTCCACCTGGCATTGCTGGATGAGGTAAGAGGGCGGAGGCTGTTCACAGCGTACACTGGCTGTGTCTCATGCTATTTACTTTGGCATGAACATTGCATCTATTTAGTGAGTTTGGGGATATTCTTTTCAAAAATAGTTATTTCTGTCCTAAATGAGGATTTTCCGCTTGAGGACCTCGATTCATTGACTGCAAAGATTTCTTAATCAAGTGTTACTGGAAGTTAAGGACCACGGCTTGGGTGTCAGGACCTTCCTCCTCAGCGATAAGCTTTTTGGTGGCTGTGACAGTGCCCGGTTTCTCAGTGTGCCGAGTGTGACCACACTGCTCAGCGAAGCTCCCTCTGGCCTGTTTGTAGATCAGCACCTGCCACCAGCTCCTGCACCCCCAGGTCCTGCAGCTGCTTGTTAAGCTTTTTGAGACCGAGCACTCCCAGTTGGACGTGATGGAGCAGGTGAGTGGTGCCCGTGGGGTCGCCAGGGGGCCGGGGAGGACCTCTCTAACCAGCTCCCTGTCCCCCTTCTTCTGCAGCTTGAGTTGAAGAAGACCCTGCTGGACAGGATGGTTCACCTGCTTAGTCGAGGTTATGTACTTCCTGTTGTCAGTTACATCCGAAAGTGTCTGGAGAAGCTGGACACTGACATTTCACTCATTCGCTATTTTGTCACTGAGGTCAGCAATGCACCGTTGGTTTCATGTTTCATACTGTTTATGCTAGCACTTTGGCTTAATTTAGTTCATTTTGTACCTAAGAACTGTGCTTTTTGATGTGGTGGTGACAATGACAGATACCCATTTACCAAAAAGCACCTCCTGCCTGCAGGAGCTGTATTACACACTTTACCTCCATTACCACCCTGGGTGTCTTAATGTTGGAGACTGGTGGTGTCACCGGGGAAGCCAGGTGGTGGCGGGGGAGGGGAGATATTTTGTAAACTGCCATTTCACCGTTATGTCAGTGCACGCCCTGCACTGCTTGTGCAGAAGAGGTCACCCCATGCTCCCCCATGCAGGTGCTGGACGTCATTGCTCCTCCTTATACCTCTGACTTTGTGCAGCTTTTCCTCCCTATCCTGGAGAATGATAGTATCGCAGGCACCATCAAAACCGAAGGCGAGCATGACCCTGTGGCGGAGTTCATAGGTGAGGCCCAGTGCCCAGCCCTTTGCTGCAATAGAAAACGGCAGCCGGGCACAGTGGCTTATGCCTGTAATCCCAGCAGTTTGGGAGGCCGAGGCGGGCAGATCACATGAGGTAGGGAGTTTGAGACCAGACTGACTAACATGGAGAAACCCTGTCTCCACTAAAAATACAAAATTAGCCGGGTATGGTGGCACATGCCTAATCCCAGCTACTTGGGAGGCTGAGGCAGGAGAATCGCTTGAACCCAGCAGGCGGAGGTTGCAGTGAGCTGGGATCATGCCACTGCACTCCAGCCTGGGTAACGGAGCGAGACTGTCTCAAAAATAGAAAAAAGAAAATGTCATGTTCTGCTTCCTGTTTCTAATGCAGTCAATGTTTTCCTCGTTAAAGCTCACTGCAAATCTAACTTCATCATGGTGAACTAATTTAGAGCATCCTCCAGAGCTGAAGCAGAACATTCCAGAACCAGTTGTGGAAAAACCCTTTCAAGAAGCTGTTGTTTTAAGCGGTGTGGGCAGCATCTTGGAAATGGGCACTGCTGGGAGAGGTGGATGACTTCTTCACAAAGGGAAATGGTGGCAGCTTCAGTGTGAAACTGCTCTACGGACAGTCCCTTTTCTGCTGTCAATCCAGTACTGCTCCTAAGTTCCAGTTTCACTGTTCATTTCCCTCAAGGCAGGCACTGGGCTCCCATTACCCTCAGGATGGATCCAGCCATCAGCCACGGGCAGCTGGGAGCTCAGACACTCGTGGACTCCTTGCAAAGCTGACCTCAAGTTTTCTCACAGGAACCCAGTTGACGTTTTATTGTAATTGTCTTAATTTGCTAAGAACAAATAATAAATAAATTTTTCAACAGCCTTTCTGCTGGGATGGATTAGGTCCTGATGTGACCTTGTTTTTGTGTGTGAATAAGGCACGATCAGCCTCAGTCTTGTGTGGAGCCAGATACTTTATTCATTTCTTGGGCGATCTGAAACGGCCATCTCCCTTCCTCCCTCCCCCACCAAGTTACTTTCAGCTGCAGACCGATTCCAAAGTGACATGAGAACCGGTGATAAGTCCGAACTGTTGTACCTCTTAAATGCCATATCGTTGGTCACCGTTGGCAAATAGAAAATATCAAGCCCTCTACTGAAGAAAAGTGAGGTCCCATCATTTCCTATCCTGCAGGTCACTTCTTCGCCGGGTAGCCGACTGCAGCCACTGTGACGCGGAGCTGTCCTGTGCCAGTGTTATAAGTCATCCCATTTTCAACTCTCAGCCAGTACCACGTTGTCCTCATGTGGACAGGCGCTCCTTCTAAATCCCAGCCGTCCAAAATTGATAGTCAGTCGCCCCCGTTCCTGCCAGCCAGCCTGGCGCACATAATCACAGGATCCCCTCATGGCTCACGATGCCTTTTCTTTAAAAATTGCTCTTCCAGTGACATGGCCTTAAACGATGGGGTCCCCAAATGTACAGTACTTCTCAATGCCAAGGTTGTAACTGGTGCCCTTTCCATCCTTATAGGTGCTGGTCACGATCCTCAACCAGCCTCTCTCGCCCTGTGAGAAGTGTGATTGCCCATCAGCCCATCTGCAGCCATCCCCTTCCCCCGACCCCTGCTGCCCCTTCTGCTCTCAGCAACCTGCCTGCTGCTTTCTGTCTCCATCCCTCAGCCCAGCCTGGGGCATCCAGACAACCCACTCAGCTGCCCCTCAGCTTTCCCATGACCCCTGTTCTGAAATACCTTTTGTGAAATAGTTCACTTGGTTAACGTTTAACATGAGGGCCCTCTGTGCCAACAGTGAATCATCTAACAAAACACACTGGCTCTAGAGCGATGACTCCTCCAGCTGCCGCTGCCCCCACTAGTACCCACCTAGTAAAAACTATGGGATTTCCTCACTTACACAGGAGCCACTTTCCCCCATTTCTAAAATGAATTTCTGTGTCTTAAACTGAATGACTAAGACTAGGTCTGCCAGTTAATTTCTCTCTCCTGGATTTTTGGCCCAACTTGAGTAGTTTTGAAGAACCTACACAGTATTACTTAGTGGGGCGGGGGCAAAAACCGTGATAGGAAAACGAATGAGCTGGTTGTAAAGGAAGAGGGTGGCAGAGCTCCTCCAGCGGAGCTCACAGGGACTTCCCCAGGGCACGAGGCAGCATCTGGACACAGTTTTGGGTCACAATGGGATTGCGGGGAGTCATCTAGGGTGGAGGGCCAGGGTTGCCGCTGAGCACCCAACATGCACAAGACAGTGGCAGCCACACAGGACAGAGAAGGGTCTGGCCCCAAAAGCCACTCACTCAGTGGCTGAGACAGCTGCAGCAAGGAACCCTCTGTCAAGGCCACGGTTTTTAACTAAAAGTCAACGGAACCATTCAAGCGAGAGGAGTACCAGGATGCTTTTTCTAGGAAAGACCTTAAGAAAATGAAAACATCTTACCCAGGGTTCACCCCACGAGTTCCGGACAATCCAGTACTCAGTCCCATCGCTGACACCCCACCCAGCCACGGAAACGACATGGTTTATGAAGGTGGTGCCCTGGTATTCGGCATAGACGCCTCCGGTGTAGTTAGCCAACCTTTCTGTTGCCATTACTCCACAGCTGAGAGCAAGCAGGTAAAGAATTACCACTTTAAATTGAGAGAATTTGCCATCATTAGACATAATCTGATATGGCCAGGCATGGTGGCTCATGCCTGTAATCCCCGCACTTTGGGAGGCCGAGGCAGGCAGAATACTTAAGTCCAGGAGTTCAAGACCAGCCTAGGCAAGATGGCAAAACGCCACCTCTACAAAAAATGCAAAAATGAGCTGGCGTGGTGGTGTGTGCCAGTAGTCCCAGCTACTTGGGGGAGGGGGCTGAGGCAGGAGGATTGTTTGAACCCGGTGGTCAAGGCTGCAGTGAGCCAAGATCACACCACTGCACTCCAGCCTGGGTGACGAGTGAGACTGTGTCTCAAAAAAAAAAAAAAAAAAAAAAAAAATCTATAGCAAAAAAGTTGTGTAAACCCAACTTAGATAATGCATATCCAACGATTCTAGATAAATTTCTGTTGTAGGCCAGGGGGTAGCTCACATTTGTAATTCCAGAGCTTTAGGAGGCCGAGGCGGGTTGATCATGAGGCCATGAGTTCGAGACCAGCCTGGCCAACACAGTGAAATCCTATCTCTACTAAAAATTAGCTGGGCATTGTGGTGAGCGCCTGTAATCCCAGCTACTCAGGAGGCTGAGGCAGGAGAATCACTTGAACCCTGGAGGCAGAGGTTGCAGTAGCCAAAATTGAGCCATTGCATTCCAGCCTAGGCGACAGAGCTAGACTGTCTCAAACAACAACAGCAACAACTTTTGTTATTCACATAGTGCCTTCCCTGGTGAAACTACCCCCAACACCACCGCCCTCAGTACAGCTTGGGGAGTGTCTCATCCACATTCCACACAACGGTCCTCGAAGGCAGACTTGCTATCAGCTCAGTTTCACCTCTGAGAAAACTGAAGTTCTTAGAGAGGAAATGATGTGGCTGGCTATCTCGAGCCTAGTGAAAAAACGGGCCAGGAGAGTGGTGAAGAATGTAGCCACGTGCACCTGCATGAGCACATGCTGGTGCTGTCCACTGCGGGACATCTCACCCGTGGGACCGCTCCTCACCTGATCGGACCATTTGCGTAGATTTCTGTCATCATCTTCTCCCTCCCAGAGACAGAGCCGTAGTCTCCCACTCTCCAGAGGGTGTAGTTCCGGATGGCATGGCACTCTTTGAATTCATTGCATGTCCCACATTGGTTAAACTTGTCACACTCTGAGGGAGAGCAAAAAAGTCAGCAGGAGGCCATCTCCTCATTAGCCCACTGACAGGCACGCCAAGCCCACTCTCCACTCTTCTCACTCATTAGCTAAGAACAGAAATCATCTGGCTATTAGGTGCTGCTTAATGGTGCTCTTCTTTCAGCTGCCAGGGAGTTAGGAAAAGCCCTTCCCTTTGGCAGAGAAGAAAAGAGACAGACACTAATTAGCACATAGTAGGCACACAGGAGTTCGCCTTTTTCCATAATACTTTATAGCTGAAAATGGAGTGTAATCAAATGATTAGCACTTAATAAAATGATTCTATTGCTGGCTGGCGAATAAATAGGCCAATATATTGGGTAACAAAAAAAGAAAAAAGCATTTTCTTCTGTGCCCATGCTGAGGGGACCAAAAAAAAAAATAATTTTCTTGTTATTTCAACTTAAAAGGTTATCAAGAATTAGGCTTACACACTTACACACACACACACACACACACACACACACACACACAGAGGGCTGGGCATGGTGGCTCACACCTGTAATCCCAGCACTTTAGGAGGCCAAGGTGGGCGGATCACCTGAGGTCAGGAGTTGGAGAACAGCCTAACATGGTGAAATCCCGTCTCTACTAAAAGTAGGAAAATTAGCCAGGCGAAGTGGTGGGTGCCTATAGTCCCAGCTACTCAGGCAGCTGAGGCAGAAGAATTGCTTGAACCTGGGAGGTGGAGGTTGCAGTGAGCTGAGATTGTGTCACTACACTCCAGCCTGGGTGACACAGCAAGACTCTGTCTCAGAAAAAGGAGGACAGGCGTGGTGGCTCACACCTGTAATCCCAGCACTTTGGGAGGCCAAGGCAGGAGGATGGCTTGAGGTCAGGAGTCTGAGACCAGCCTGGACAACAGAGTGAGACCCCATCTCTACAGAAAAATAAAAAATTGGCCGGGCATGGTGGCCCATGCCTGTAATCCTAGCACTTTGGGAGGCCGAGGTGGGTGGATCACCTGAGGTTAGGAGTTCAAGACCAGCCTGGCCATGATGGTGAAACCCCATCTTTAAAAATAAATAAATAAATAAAATAAAGGGAAAAAAAGTTAATTTTTTTTAAAAGAAAAAGCGCAACTCTTGGTTTTGCATGGCTCAGAGCTGCTGTGTTCCCACTTTTCACTCCACCTACATGGCGGCCTTGCCTGCCATTCACTGCTTTGGCATGACCTGTTTCCATCATAGTTACACATCTGTCCGGATTCCTCCTGCAGGACCACGAGCACCTTGAGGCTGAGATGCTGGTTCCATTTGTTCAGTTTGTTCCTTGCACACCAAGTGCCCAGTGCCAGGGAAAATGATGGATTCGTGGCCACATTTGTTCACACTACCAAGACAAGACTATCACAATAAGGTTGTTTTTTTTTTTGGACACAGAGTCTCTCTCTGTCACTCAGGCTGGAGTTCAGTGGTATGATCCTGGCTCACTGCAACCTCTGCCTCCCAGGTTCAAGCCATTCTCGTGCCTCAGCCTCCTGAGTAGACGGAATTACAGGTGCGTGCCAGTACGCTCAGCTTCTTTTTGTATTTTTAGGAGGGACAGGATTTCACCATGCTGGCCAGGTTAGTCTCAAATTCCTGGCCTCAAGTGATCCACCCACCTTAGCTTCTCAAAATGCTGGGATTACAGGTGTGGGCCACCATGGTCACCAGTCACACAATCAGGTTTCTGATGAGCTCCATCAGCCCGTCAGGCTGGTTGGGTTAGAAGGGCCTGGCCTGGGCCAGCCCAGAGCAGTTTGGGGTGGAGTGGGGTGGGTGTGGCCCTGGAGACCACCTGATACCTGCTTCCTGCTTCCAGAGCCATCTGACCGCCCTTCCCTCTGTGCCTTCATCTGTCCCCCTTCCCAAAGGACTCACCTGACCAGTCCAGGAGAATTCTTTCTGGCTGAACAATAAGGCCAGAGAGGCTAAGTAAGGGAGCCCCGCTAGCAGAGGGTGGTGCCCAGAGGAGCCTCTGCCATGTCAGCGCGCACAGGGCGCTGGGGCCGGCCTATATATATATAGTCTGGGGGAGGGGTGGAGACAGCCGGTCAGACAGGCAGCCGTTGAGCTTTCCGAGCTATCCGCTCTGGCTGTGAGGGAGATCTGAGTCAGGTGGCTTAAAACTACCACCAGTTGGCCGGGCGCGGTGGCTCACGCCTGTAATCCCAGCACTTTGGGGGGCTGAAGTGGGCAGATCACCTGAGGTCGGGAGTTCAAGACCAACCTGACCAACATGGAGAAACTCTACTAAAAATACAAAATTAGCCAGGCATGGTGGTGCATGCCTGTAATCCCAGCTACTCAGGAGGCTGAGGCAGGAGAATTGCTTGAACCTGGGAGGTAGAGGTTGCAGTGAGCCGAGATCACGCCATTGCACTCCAGCCTGGGTAATGAGAGTGAAACTCACTCAAAAAAACAAACAAAAAAAACTAAACAAAACTAAACTACCAATTATGGGGTTAGGGTCTGGACTTTTCTCTCCTTCGGTTTCCAATGGGAGCAGCCTGGAAGGAATGTGCAGCTACAGGGATTCCAGGCCAGCTGGGGTCTGCTCATCCACGCAGCGTCCCTGTGGCCTCAGCCACACCTGAATGTGCAGGACCCGGACCCTGGGGCGCCAGAACAGGAACCAAGCCAATGGCTGCTTCCCTCCCCACCTGCTCTCTACCAATGCTCCTGGAAAATAGACTCCTCCCTCCACAAGGCCGTCTACAACTCTCCCCTACAAAGGCCCAAAAAGCCACCAAAATGCCAGCATGTCAGAACCCAGACACCACACCCAGGGCCAGCCACAGGGGCACAGGAGCCCTTCCACGGGGCTGGAGACACCATCAGGAAGTGGATGCTTTTTTTTTTTTTTGAGACAGAGTCTCACTCTGTCACCAAGGCTGCAGTGCAGTGGCGTGATCTCGGCTCACTGCAACCTCCATCTCCTGGGGTCAAGCGATTCTGCTGCCTCAGCCTCCCAAGTAGCTGGGATTACAGGCATGTGCCACCACACCAGCTAATTTTTGTTTTTAGTAGGGATGGGATTTTACCATGTTGGCCAGGCGGGTCTCGAATTCCTGACCTCAAGTGATCTGCCTGCCTCGGCTTCCCAAAGTGCTGGGATTACAGGTTTGATCCACCACACGTGGCCGAGGATGCTCCTCAGACCACTCCTGCATCAGGCTTTTTCACTGGGCTTCTCAACAGGGACTATGGGCTCCAGTTTTCTGCTCCCCCGCTCCAGTGGGTGCAAGGTAGCTGGCAGAGGTGGCTTCCACAGGGAGAGGATGGAGCCAGCACTGGGAATGTTACCCTTCATGGTCAAGAGCACCAGCGCCCCTGGGAGCTACAACCTCTGCCCTCCCGTGATACCCCAGCTACCCGCCAGTGTGAGGAGCACGGGGTCAGGCTGGGCGCTCAGTGGAAGAGGGAGTAGAGGGGTAGGGTGGAGTGGGGGCGAGGGCAGCCGCCTACCCTGGTCCTTGGCCTGGTAGTTGTTGCAGGTCTCATCGGGGATGCCGTGCCGGTGGGCGTACTCCCACACAGACAGGTCGTTGCCCCCTTCGCAGGAGCCAGCGTCACCACAGTCGATGACGTGCTGCACAGACAGGAGGGTAGAGGGCCATGCGCCCTTCCTCTTGATGTTGATCCGATCTGCAACAGTCAGCACCCCCTGCTTGGCACCCACCCGCCCTCCACCCACTTCCCCGAGAGCACCTGGACACCTGGGGCGGGATGCAGGCGTGCCCAGCCTGGCCAGCCTTCGGCTCATGCCCAGCTGCCTGTGTCTCCCGCTCCCCGCTGACCTATTCATGGAGGTCTCTGCTTGGATGTCGCTCAACAGAGAGGCCTTCCCTGGCCTTCTTTGGACACCGTCCTGTCTGCCACACCTCCTGACTACAGATGCCATGAGAGCAGGGCCTGGGACAGGCGGTCACCAGCATCTGGCCCTGCAGACACTGAGAAGTGCTGGCCGAATGAAGGACTCAATGGACAGAGACTCAGCCACCCATGCCAAGCTAGCCAGGAGAAACCATCCCTGCCCTCGTGGACAGGGGACCAAGGTGTCAGCTCTGTGAACAAGTATAGCCCAGGGAGCCGTGCCAGCCCCAGTGATGGGCCAGATGCAGTCCCCAGGGCTGGGGAAGGCCAGCAGGGACCCTGCCCCGAAGGCCCTGGGGGTCGCAGCAGCTGGCTGACGATGCCCTCACCAACCAGGTGCCTGGGCTCACATATCCCAAGTGCAGCCAGGGAGAGCCGAGGGTGACCTCTGACCAGCCTGCTTCCCTTCCCATGTGCAAATGCAATAAAACAGATCTGAGAAGGAAACCCAGGCCCTTGTTCAGGGTCATGTCACTCTCCACCCTCCCTGCCTTCACAGCGACAACCCCTGCACCTGCCTCACGCCTCATCTCCTGCCCCCACCTCCAAGTCAGAACTGCTCCTGCAGCCTCACCTTCCCTCCCCTGGGGCAAAGTGAGAAGGGAGTCCCTCTGCCCGCAGTACCCCCTCTGAGCCTGCACACCCCCCCCGAGCCTGCACACCACCCTCCGAGCCTGCACACCCCCCTCCGAGCCTGCACACCCCCCTCGAGCCTGTACACCCCACTCTGTTTCCTGTGTCACCTTCCAGACTCCCTCACACTGCCCCAGTCCGCTTCTCCACCCGGCCTCCTCCTGGTCGCCCAGCCAGGGACCTTCTGGAACTGGCCCTACTCTGGTGACCTTGCTTCACACATCACTGAAAAGTCCCAGAGCAGACCTCCATCCTGCCGCCACTGGGCCTGCCAAGCTCTGTACCCCAAATGCTCTTTCTGGAGCAGCGGGTGGCTGGTTTGTTCCCTCCCACTCGACCGACCCAGGTTCCATCCCGTTTCCTCCCAAGGACTAGGCTCCCTCCAGCCTTCCTCCTCCCCGCCCCCTTGCCAGCCAGTCCCCTCTGTGCAGACCTGCACTCCCCACACTCACCTTTCTCACAACACCAGCGGGAGCCCCCGGCCCCTCCCACTCACTGTCACAGTTTTCTGCTCTACTCAATAGTTTGAGACGGTGCCCGACCCCTACTGCCCCGCTCCTCCTCAGCCCTACCTCTCTGCTAATGGTCACTCTCCACCTTCATCGGAGCCGGACCCCTCCGGGCAGCAGTCAGCAGAGCAGTTGCTCAGTCCTTCTAAAAGCACCTCCTGCCTGTGCTTCTGGGGTTCCACTTGGCAGTGCAGGGCGTCCCATGGTCTGCTCGGAGCCCCTTCCTTCTCCGCTCAACCCAACCCCGCAACAGCAGTCCCAGTCCAGAGGCAGAGCTCGGGTGGGCCGGCAGTTTCAGTTCTGGCCTCTCTGTCTACGCCTGAATGAAGCATCTGAGCCGGGCCTAACCTGCCCATGGAGGTGTGCACAGGCTTCTCCCACGGCCAGACTCAACCCTTCATCCTGCCAGCCCCATCCAGCAACGGGCTTACTACTCACACCCAACTGTGGGTTAACACAAGCTCCCTGAATACGTTTAACACAGATGAGGCCAAGCCACAGTGTGCAGGAGGTTGGGTGTATCAGATGCATTATCCACTCACGGTATTTTCGACTTATGATGGGGTTGTCGGGACGTGACCCCAGTTCCACCAAGTGGCATCTGTTAACCATGCAAAGTATATAGTGCCATGAAGAAAAATACAACAGGGAGGGGACTCAGGAAGTGGGGTGTCACACGCATAGGTGGCTGAGGAAGACCCCGCTGAGGTGACATCCATAGGAGGGAGGGAGGGAGCCAGAGGACCTCAGGGAGAGAGGAGGTGCCTTGCAGGAGTGGGGGATCCAGAGCGGGACCGGGAGGAGACAGATGGTGAAGATGGTGAAGGCTCTTGAAGGCTAGAGGGTTCTGTCTTTTATCTGAGTGGAATCCTGGAGGGTTTCCAGCCAAAGCATATGATCTGATGAGTATTCACAGGCTCACTGAGGCTGCCTAAGAGGTGACGGCAGGGCAGAGGCCAGGAGACCAGTGAGGGCAGTGGGTGGCAGGGCGGTGTGTCTTAGACCTGGCAGAGATGGTGGCGGTGCATGATTTCTGCATCTGCTTCGAAGGTAGAACCGATAAGACTTGTGCGTAGATTATATGAGGGACAGAAAACAGAGGAGCTGGGGACCAGTCCAGGCTTTTGCCCACATAGCCGGAAGGACAGCCAAGGATGACTGGAGAAGAAATGGGCTCTCGGGTGACAGAGGTGGAAGGAGCCATCCGACCTGGATGGCTGAGGCTGGAGGTGACAGGTGCCCAGGCCAGCAGGCAAGTGCGCGGGCAGATGTCAAGGTGGGTTCAGGTGAAGCGTTGGCCCTGGAGAAGGTGACACTCAGAACTCTACGACGACAGCTGGGGAGAGGGGAAGGAATGGCTGGGGAGTGTGGTGCAGGAGAGGGAAGCATTTCAGTGACGTGGGGACTGCCCCCTGCCCTGCTTCACAGCAGGTGACCGTGGGAAGAGCAGTGTGGTGGAGTGGCAGGGGTCAGACTGAGGCTGGAGTGTGTCCAAGGATGGAGAAGAGGAAGTGGAGGACTCCAGATATTTCCCCAGGGAGCCGAGAAGTGGGGCGGGTGGGGCCGGGGGCTCTGTGTTCCTCTGTTTCCAGTGGGAGAGCTTCCCTGCATGGGAAGGAATGGGCTTGGGGAGGGGCTGAGACGTTTTATCCTGGGGTAGAGGAGGAAAGACAAGTAGAGGACCTGCTGCCTTGGCTGGCAGATGGCTGGGGCCCCGTGGAAGTCCCCTCTGGTGGCTTCTATTCCTCAGTTAAAGAGGAAGCAAGGGCGTGGGTGCGCTGAGATGTTAGCAGTTTCAGAAGGTGGAGTGAAGCATCATCTGCCAGGAGAGTGAGTCCCCTGGGGAAATGCGGCAGGGCTGACCCCGCCAGGGTCCCGCCCCCATCTCAAGCCATCTCCTTCCTACCCACAGTCCTTCACAGATACACAGCTTGTCACCTGACCACCTCTCAGAGTTCAAGGCTCCCCATGGGCACCTGGTGATCTTTGTATCCTCCCCTCTCCCTCACCCACCCTCCAAGGCCTGGGCACTCCCCCTGAACATTGCCCAATCCTCTGCCTCTAGGCCTAGCCACACCCTGCAGCCCAGCCCAGGTCTCCTAGACCTTCCAGCTCCATCCACACCCAAGGGACCTCTGAACCAAGGGTCAGGAGTGTGTTCCAGCCCCTGGGGGGAGATGCCACAGATGCCACAGCTTCAGTTTGCTGGCTCTGGGGTCCAGACCCCACCCCCAGAGCAAGACAAACCCCAACCCCTCATTCACAAGACAAAGCCCATTGACATCCTGGCACAAAGCCCAGGCTTCCGGGCTCAAATCTCAGCCGTCACTTACACTCTGCCCAAACCTCCCGCTCTCCCTGCAAAGAGCCTGTTTCCTCATCTGCAAACTGAAAGCGATCACGGCATCGAGGAGGCATCGGTGAGATGGAGCACACACAAGCGCGTGGCCCACAGCAGCCACATAGTCAATCCTCTCAACACGGATGTACAGCAGGCCCGACCCATGAGGACCAAGGCCAGGGAGGAGGCAGCAGCGCTGGTGGGGCCACACCCCCAGCCCACGCAAGTCCCATCTCCAGAAAATCCAGGCTCTTGGACCCTATGCTGTGACTGGAGAGGGGATGGCAAGGTCCCTCCCAAATGCTGTGGAGTGGGCCTGGGGCTGGTTTGCAGCTGTCCCTTCTGCCTTCTCTCCCACAGCAGGGCACAGAGCCTCATCGATAGGGTGGGCCTCAACTTCCCCTTCCGCTTTGCTGAAAGCCTTCCTACCCCACTGCGGCCAAAAGCCTACAATAGAAACCTGCCAGGCTGGGGGTGGTGGCCAGGTTAGGCCATAGGCTGTAGCCAGCCAGCCTCACCCAATATTCCAGGCCCAGGACAGGCCTTCATTTGTGCTAAGAAGCAGTTGACTCTGTATCCTCAGTTACAGCCTGGGGACTCGGTGATTTTTTATTCTGTCCATCCCAGTGTCTGAGGTCCCAAGCTTTGGGGGAGTGAGGGCACCTGACAGCCACTTGTCACTGGGCTTCGGTCCTAGTCCTGCCAATCACCCAAAGGCCCCAGAATGACCCAGCTTGTATCACCTTGGCAGAGGGTGAAGGCCCGTGCCCCGTGGCCTCAGCACCCCAGCCCGGGCTGAACTGGCATTGATTGACTCACAGGCCGCTGGAACCTCGGGCTGAGCTGCCTGGGCCTGTAAAGAGGCAGCCCGGATGGGCTTTCCTGGCCCACAGTCAAAGGGGGGGCCACTCACCCGCCATGGCGCTGGTGCTGGCGTGGGCCCAGCAGGAGCCGCAGTACTGGGGGATGTGCTGGTTCCTGGTGATGCTGGCATAGTTGACACCACCCACGTTGCGCCAGTCCCAGCTCTTGGGCAGATCCTCTGGCGACAGGTACTCATGAGGCCGAGGGTATGTGCTGGGAAGAGAACATCCCCACCCAGATCAGTGCTGGGGGTCCTGGGGCTGCCAGGCCGGCTTCCGGGGCCATGGGCCCAGGAAGCTCTCGGTAGGGCCCTCCCGCCCTTCCCAACACCTGAGGGCATGGGAGCCGGGCCACAGTCAGCAGGTGTGAGCCAGGTGTGGGCCCACCTCACAGGAGGAGGCCCCAGGGCCCTCAGAATGTGAAGGAGGCAGGGCACCCCTGAAACGAGGGAACCGGGGTGCTCCCCCAGCCACGCCGCGCCATGGGGGCCATCCCCAGAGGCCGAGGAGGTGGCGCTGGTTTGGCTTTCCGGCCAGGTGGGGCTTGTCCAACGCCACAAACATCAGGGCTCTCCCTGGATGTGGAAGAGGAGGAGCGACCCCCAAAACGAAGCGGCTGGATCTGACCTTCCACGGCCTAGTGGCGAGGCAGGGCCCCCAGGAGGCAGAGCGCGCGCCCGGCCCGGGAGCTGGGCCTCCCGTCACCCCCGGGCCGCCTCCCCGCCGGTGCCCACCTGCGCCCCCGTGGAGCCAGCGGGTCCCCGCGCAGGGGCCGGTAGCAGGTCTGGCCCTGGCGGAAGTAAAGGCCGCCCTGCGCAGCGCCCGCCAGCAGCATGAGCAGGAGCAGCGGCCGCCAGGCCGGCCCGCTCCCCGCCATGGCCCCGCGCCGCCTCTCGGGTCCCGCTCCGGCTTCTAGGTCCCGCTCTGGACCCCGCTCCGGTCCCAGATCCCGCGCCGGCTCCCGCCCTGGATCCCGCCCCGCACCCGGCCGACCCTGCGCTTTGGCTCCTGCCCCGCTCTGCCCTTAAGGCGGCGGCCGGGCCGGGACACTCCCCTGGGGCGGGGCTGTCCCATCGCGGCTCCTGCCCCGCCCGGTGACCTCGCCCGCCCCGCCCAGAGCAGCACCCTGGCTCCGGGGCGCCTGAACTCGTGGGCCAGGCGCGAGGCCACCGGGCAGACCCCAGCCCTGACCCCGCCGCCGGCCGCCGCCAGCTGGTGGCCTTCTGAACACGGTACTGTCCAGCTGGACTCATTTGCCAGGGTTCCTGGCCTCGGGGTTGGGGGGCGCCTTGGCCTGCATTTGAGACCCTGAGCCCTGGAGAGAGGCCCCCAGCGTCACATCCCCCCTAGGAAGGGATCCTGGGAGCGGCCGCAGAAAGATGCCTGCGCCTGGCTTTTCAAACGCTTTCCCAAAGGCCCAGGCCCTTTCGGAGGAACGGTTCCCTTTTGCAGAGAAGGAAAGAGGGATCCTTCTAGAAAATGCCCCTAAAGGAAAATTCCGCTGGTCTCATACATCAGGAGTTCTGCCACGTGACTTGCAAAGCTGCCTGGAAAGGTTTTCTGAGACCGAAACTCTTCTCAGTCAAATGAGGAACCAAAAGCAGAAGTCACCCCTCAGGACGTGGTTTGGCAACTGGAGGAGGGCTCCCCTCTCCCCCCACCACCCCTCTGAGTGCCTGTCTTGGCCTGCGGGCCACACCATGGCCTCCTGTTCTGGTAAGAACAGGCCTGGCATTCTGGGCCAGGCTTACAGGCCCTTGCTGGGGGCCTTTGGCACAGGGTCCGAAGATGAGCTTGCGCGGCTCTCTCCATCCTCAGTGGTGCTCACCACATTCTGAGGGTGCCTCGTGGGCAAGGGGAAGTCACAGTGACTGCTTCTTGACTTCCAGCAGCTTCCAGCCCATCCCTGGAAGGGCCGATGTGGCTGTGGAATCCCTGCATGACTGTCCGGGTGGAGAGCCAGGCTGAAAACTGCTTTGTCATCCCAGAAGTTTCAGTCCTTGTTCCCCAAAAAGCAGTCACCGAGTCAGAGTGCGGCCCCGGAGCTATATCTGCTGATGTGTCTATTTTTTTGGCAAGTTGCTCATGGAAAACATTAGTGTCCATCAGTTGTCGGAAGGCAGCGTGGGGTGGCCGTCCTGGGACAAGCATCCCAGGTTGAGCTGGCGGTGGGGGTGGGAGCCAGGCCTCCCAACCTCTGGCACAAAAGGAGTAGAAAGAGAATTGCCAGTGATTGGTGGGGGGGGGTGGGGGGGGTGGGGATGGTTCTTTCTCCCAGGTCAATTCAGCGGCCTTCCTGACTACAGGAACTGGGTCCTTGTGTGGAAGAAACCCAGACACAGTTGCCCCTGCCAGGTCATCAGGTGGCATCTACCAAAGCAGCCAGTTTTTGGCCTCTTCTAAAGAAAAAGCTAAAAAAAGAACTCACAAAATTGTGCGGCAAGAGACATTGCGCCCCCTCCCTCCATGTACCCATAGACGGTCAGGATCTGGGTGCTATGAAGCCCAGCAGCACATTCTACAGCATGAGAAACAGAAGCCTGGAGAGGGGAGGGCCCCTGTGCTTGGCCTCTGATGCCTGAGCTGTGATGTCCTGGGCCCTCTTCCCTGAATCTGGGTGAAAGGCACCCAAAGTGTAAGCTTTTCTTCCCCGTAGCATGGGGAGAGCTGGGTGCTCTGAAGATGGCCTGAGACTCTCGGAGCAGGTTCAGCCTGTAGAAGCTATCATGACAGGCAGGGCCAGCGAGGCAGGCACATGACCCCTGCAGTAACATGGGTCCCAAGTCCAGAAGTGTAAGGCAGGGCTGAACAAGGGGCCCCGCAAGGTTCACTGTGACCTGGCTCTACATAATTTGCCAGCAGCCGCACCTGCTTGGTCCCAAGTCCTGCACATCACTCGCTTTCAGCCCACAGCCTCTGGCTAATAAAACTCACAGATAAGGGTCAGGAGGAGGGGCGAGAAGGTCAGGGAGGACAATCAGTCCTGCCCTGAATGCTGGCACAAGGCTTCATTTATTAGGAGAGTTCCAAAGAGGGGACTGTCCGGATTTACCCCATTGAAAGTTGGTTAAAGGGAAGGATATTTTTAGGCTGGTAACAAAAAGGACATCCAAACATGACAAGTTGTGGCTCCTGGGTTTCCCTCACATAGAAATAACTCAAGCTCAGAATCTACTGGAAGAACAGGGCAGGAAGAGAGGGAGGGAGTCCATCCATTTGAAATCATCATTTGCAGGCCAAGAAGGAAGAAAGGGATCCTGATGAGACTTACCTCTTCAGCCCCTTCTGATGGGTCAAACAGAAAACCAAGTGGATGTGGGGCTCCTCATCTCTGAACCTGGCTCTGGTCGAGTGGATGCATGTCGCTACCAGACTGCTCCGAGAAGCTGGCTGGCTGTGTCATTTTGGGGGTTCCTAAAATTGTGCAGCAGAGGATCCTAAATCGATTTTTGTGTTTTTTTGGGTTTTGGGTTTTTGTTTGTTGTTTTTTCCTTAACTCAATGCAAGATTCTAAACATATGCCTTTGAAGGGTGGGGTTGGAGTGGCCACAAACCCACCCACACTCAGATTCCAGAAGGAGGTTTAGTCGGAGGAGCTCTCTGAAGGTCACGCAGATAAAGCCAGGAGGTGTCTGGGACTGGAAAAAGAGGAGGGGGCACTCTGGGAACCTGCTAGACAGGCCATCCCCGGCCATTTTTCGTTGGCTACTGCTTGCTGGGGGTTGAGTATAGCCCCAGAGCTGTGTCTCTCTCTTCAAAGCAGATTCACCTGCAGAGCAGCTTGGGGACTCTTGGAAACCTGAGAGGTGTGCTTCCTTCTGACTTGGCTGCAGGTGCCTGCAAGGTGGTTTTGTGGATAGTGACTCATCTCATCTGGGCCCAGATCCGAGGAGGCTTGGGCAGGGCACTTGGACCTTCTTACCTCTGAGGCCCTGCTTGCCTAAGCATTGCTTCTAGCAGCTCTTTATAAGCAGTAGTGTGCCACCGCCTTCCAGCTTGGGGCAGAATCAAGTAGGTATTGAGAGAGAGCCAGGCGTCTCCCTTGAAACCACTTTGCCTGGAAAGCTGGGCACCTGTCCTGGGTTTTCCTTCCTGGAGGTAACTCAGTCATACCTGCTCCCAGGGATGCTTGAGGGCCGAGGGTTGAGCCAATGACATTCTAGAGGACTCTGCAGCCCATTTGATCCTTTGCACAATGCTGTAAGGTGGGGTGGGGGCTGGGAGGCAGATGTTATGACTCCATTCTCCTGGTGAAAAGACTGAGCCTCTGGATGGCAGGTTTGCCTGGGTGTGCTCAGCACAAGTCTCCTGGGTGGCAGGTTTGAATCCAGACCCCTGTTTTTTTTTAATCCTACAAAGTCTCCTGGAAAACACATGATCCAGGGCCACAGACACAAAAGCCTATTCATTTCTACAAATAAGGCTGATCTTTCTCATTCTAATAAAGATCAGTGCACATAGGCCAGGGCTCACCCACCTTCCCAACCTGGAGGAGAACACAGGTGAGTTTTAGTTGACTGTGGAATGGCCTCGAAATTCTTTTTTTCCTTCTTCCTTTGTGCCATATTGTCTGGCTCACACCCTGGCAAGCTGCAGACATTTCCTATTGTTCCACATGCCTTAGTTTAGCCACATCCTGGACACCGGCATCTGTTTGGGTGGATGCCGGCAGTGCTTGCTGGGCTAGGCTGGTTTTGCAGGGTGCAACGGGTCCCTCACCAGCTACAGGAGCTGCTCTTGGTCCACTAGGTGAGTGGGTCAGAGGACCTCGCTAACACCCAGATTCCGCTGCAGGGCAGGCCTTCAGATGGGGTGGGTCAGGTGTGCAATCCACCTGTCACCGTCCCCGGGTACCACCGTGCATCACATCCTGGCCTGGTTGTGTTATGGGAAAGGGGATCCCGATCCAGACCCCAAGAGAGGGTTCTTGGACCTCACGCAAGAAAGAATTCGGGAAAGTACATAAAGTGAAAGCAAGTTTATTAGGAAAGCAAAGGAAGAAAAGAATGGCTACTCTATAGGCAGAGCCCGGCCCGGGCTGCTCAGCTAACCATACTCATTGTCACTTCTTGATTATACACTAAACAAGGGCGGATTACTCAGGAGTTTGTTGGAAAGGGGTGGGCAATTCCAGGAACTGAGGGCTCCTCCCCTTTTTAGACCATACAGGGTCACTTCCTGATGTTGCCATGGCATCTGTAAACTGTCATGGTGCTGGTAGGAGTGTCTCTTAGCATGCTAATGCATTATAATTAGCGTATAATGAGCAGTGAGGACAACCAGAGGTCACTTTCATCTCCGTCTTGGATTTGGTGGGTTTTGGCTGGCTTCTTTATCACAACTTTTTACCAGCAAGGTCTTTTTTTTTTTTTTTTTTTTTTTTTTTGAAAAAGTTTTGCTGTTATTATCCAGGCTGGAGTGCAATGGTGCGATTTTGGCTCACTGCAACCTCTGCCTCCTCGGGTCAAGCACTTCTCGTGCCTTAGCCTCCAGAGTAGCTGGGATTACAGGTGCCTGCCACCACATCCAGCTAATTTTTTTGTATTTTTTTAATAGAGATGGGGTTTCACTATGTTGGCCAAGCTGGTCTCAAACTCCTGACCTCTGGTGATCCACCCACCTCGGCTTCCCAAAGTGTTGGGACTAAAGGCGTTAGCCCATCAGCAAGGTCTTTGTGACCTGTACCTTGTGCCGACCTCCTATCTCATCCTGGAATGCCTAACCTCCCAGGAATGCAGCCCAGTAGGTCTCAGCCTTATTTTACCCAGTCTCTATTCAAGATGGAGTCGCTCTGATTGAAAGGCCTCTGACAGTTGCACAGTGACTGGTGGCCCACACTTGCTTGGGTGTGGATGTGGCTCCTTGGGCTGACATTCACGAGGGCAGCCCCATCAGGATCACCTTCAGGACACACCCTGTGCGGCACAGCACGTTCACAGACACAGCCCACCATGAACTCACCAGGAAGTTTTCAAAGGGGCACTCAATGACTATACCCAGTTGAATTTGTTTGCCCTCTGAAGTTAGGCTGTCAGCAAATGTTTGTTGAGCACCTAGAATGTGTAGGCTACTGTTTTTTTCCCCAGGGATTTGGCAGTGAACAGAGTCTCTGTCTGCAGGGACTTACGTTTTCTGCATAAGGGAACATGTGGAAAAGTAAAATGCTCAGGAGGTAGGAAGTGCTTGGAAACAGATAAAATGGGGAACAGGAGAGACGGCGGTGGGGGGGGGCCTTCTGAAGTTTGGTCTGGGACCAGTGAGCTGGGATCCAATAATGAGACAACCATGGAGGGTGCTGGAAGGAGACTCAGCAGAAGGAAGAGTGTCTGCAGAGGCCTGAGAATGTGAGCACGCTGGGTAAGTGTGTGATGCACTAGAGAAAGCCCATGGGGAGGGCGCGGACAGGTGGCCTCAGGCTCCAAGCTGCAGGGACCATGTGGTCACTCAGGCCAGCTTCACACAGCAAGCCCACCTCTCCCCTCCCTCCCCTTCTGCCACCTGACAGGGGCTGTGCTGGCCTCCTTCATCCCCCACCTCGCTTCCCTGCCCCATGGGGTGTGTGCATTGTGGAAGATCTGAAGGCACACATTGACTTTCCTTTGGTAAGAGGTTTGGGTATCCTCCCAGTTGCCACTGGCTTTCCAGGACGGCGGCGGGTGAGAGCTGACTTCTGTTTATAATATCCTCTGGTGGTTGTGGGAAGGATGATGTGAGTG